AAGTCAATAGAGTTCAAAATGTTTTACTAAAATAAAATAAAATTGTAGTTCATATTTTAAATTTGATGAAAATATAATCCCTGCAACAACTTCTCCAAACTAAGATATTAATCATATATTGCTATATTAGCAGAGAATCAAAGAAACTAAGGAATCTCTTGCCGCACAAGCCATTTCAAGTAGACTGAAAAAAGCCCCAGAGAGTACCAGACATACACCCCAATAAGTGGAGTTTGGATGATTTAAGAGAATTTCATTTCACACTCTGTGTAAGAACTTGTTGCAGAGTTGAAAGACCAGATTTTACCATACATGTACTACAAAATGCAAGAAGAAAACAGGAAAGTATGGATAAAGCAGTTAGAATCCTTGTAGAAGCTTCATGATACACAAAAAAATAACTAATTTTTGAGTTTGCAAATTGTACTGGTAGAAATTATGTAAAGATTATCTGGGATATACAACTCCTACTTCTTGCTTTGAATATTACATTTTACTGTTCCTTTCAAGTCCAATAATAATCTAATTTATTCTGGCTTGTCGGGGTTTTTTTATGCTAAGAATTTCTATCTTAAAAAAATATTTTTTTCCAAGTTCTCAAAAATTACAAGCTATTTTTTCTCTTTCATATTTTACAAAAGATGATCATAATATCATCTGATGATGTTATCAATTCAGTATCTCCTCCTCACTCCTAAATTTCCTACCTCACTGGAGTTACACTACCTGAAAGAAATCTCTAACGAAAGTCAGTCAGAATTCACTGATTTGGCCCCTTGGAGAGCTGATTACCAGACAATCTGGGTGTATGTTATAAACATGAGAGGAAGGAGTAAAACCGAGACAAATGAAACTAAATATTTCCTTACACATTTCTCACCTAACAAAATCATATTTTATTCTTATTAAAATAAATAGCATGTAACTATTAAAGTACAGATATCATTTGTCTTCACAGAATTCACAGAATGACTAATTTGGCAGAGACTTTAAAGATCATCGAGTCCAACCCATGCCCTAACACCTCAACTAAACCATCGCACCAAGTGCCATATCCAATCTTTTTTTAAACACATCCGGGGTGGTGACTCCACCATCTCCCCAGGCAGGCCATTCCAGAACTTTATCACTCTTTCTGTAAAAAACTTCTTCCTAATATCCAGCCTATATTTCCCTTGACACAGCTTGAGACTGTCTGAATCAAGTTAATGCTGAAAAACCTATTCTAGAGTCAATCAAATCAATATTCATATTTTTTCAAAGCATGATTTTGCCATTTGTGTAAAACTTACACTGTAAATCCATTACTTTTTTTATTCTTCAAGTTTTCCATTGTTTAGTATGCATTAAGCCTTACTACCAATTTGTGATTAAATGTGGTAAACAAATAAAAAAAATTTCCTCATTTCTAATAATACACTGCATGTCTGGACCTGAGCTATTAGCTGTTATGCTGATTACTGCTGTATCTATGCTCTTAAGTGGGGAGCTGTCAATGAAGTTATTCCCAACCCTATTCTCTTCTGCCCTGCTGTGCTCTTCCATCCACAAACTAGATACAACCACAGTGTTCTCACAAGGCACCCAACCCATAAGAGAGGTTGCAGGACTAACAGGAATTTCAGATTTACCTGGTAGGCTTCACAGAATTTACCCAAGCTCATCTTCTGCTGATGAAACGCTGCTATGTCAATAGTGGTGGCTCCATGTGTTAGTTTTTTATAATACTAATATATAATATCACCTCTGTAATAAAATGTCCACTACTACCTTTGGACTAACTGCAGATTAAATTTTAGAAATGAGATTTTTCTTGAAAACACCTGCACAAATGAGAAAAAGATAAATTAAATTGTTCTACAATGAAAAACAGAAACCCAGGCACTAAAGACTAACTGCTTTTGTTAAATCTAGAAGATAAGGATAAATTATTTCTTCATTTACTTCTTTTGGTATGAAATTGCAAGGTAGCTCCTAATATTTCTTAGACCTTCACCTTCTGGTCTTAAAGAAAAACAGTGAGAATTTAAAAAATAATCTATTTAGGTCATGTAAAAATGGTATATAACCTTTAGAGTGCGGTGAAAAAGTTGAAGAGATTTTCCCTGCCCCTCGTTGAAAAGACTATATTAATGGTCTACCTGACATATAAAAGCTTGTAACAGCTGTTATGAAACATTTTCCTAAGACTACAAAGCTGGTATAATAAAGTACAATATTAATTTACTTGTCTTTTCTCTAATTCTGTAATTAACCTGGGTCAGTGGGACAGGGAATCTTGAAACAATTAAATATAACTTTTAATGTGTTAGAATACTTTAGCAAAAAAATACAATTAATCTATTACTTTTCATACATTTAGCCCTTTTGGAAGGAAAATAAAATGTCCATCTTCTATGATGAATTGAATGGAACTGACTTGGTTTGCTTTTACACCTGTTATTTCTGCATATGGGAGGATTAGCAAGACTTGATGAAAATTCCAGAAAGAAAATGCATTGCAATTTCTGTTTGCATAGGACAGCAGATAAACATCTTCAAACTCCATCAAATGAACTGAAGAACAAACCATCATTTCTCATGAGCCCACTAGAAAGCAATAGATCATAATCAAGAACACAAATTTTTTTGCACAATCCCTTTACATAACACACAACGTGGTCACCTGCAAGGGAAATTTCATTAGAATTCTTGTCAGTTATGCTTTGTCATACAGGAGATAGAGGCTTCTTTCTTAACATTGTTGTCTCTGGAGCAGTAACAGGAGACATTGGCATGTGATTTGATCATCAAAACTAGAGAGCACAGCATTCCTTTCACTTTATTACAGAACTCAGTTCATAATTTAAACTGTGATCTTTGCTAACCCTGGTATTTAATTCACCTGCAAAAGTACTGAGTGTTTTGTAGAAGTAGGAAGGAATCAGAAATAATATCTGTGGTTCCAAGAAGGATAGGGAACATGATGGGAAAATCATACCTAATATCACAGACATGTAACAGATATATACTTACCCAACCAAACACACCCCAATGATGCTCCTTTATGATTATTATGAGCAAGCAGAAATATCTGATTTTTTGATTAGCCCATAAAACTGGATTAACACTCAGGAAGAATTAATATATGGTTTAAAACAGTCACTGATAATATTTTGTATTACTGCAAAAAGGATCAAAGATTGTCACTAGCCCAGTGTTGTACTTGACAATAACTATACCTGTTTTCTTATAGGCCTCCTACTAACCTACTTTAGGGCTTAGTAAAATACTATGTGCTTATAAAACCATGTTGACCATAACTGCTTTCACAAATATTGGTTAGTATAGCCATAATTTGTTAACATAAACCCATTAATTACAGATTTAAATTGTCCAGCTTTAGGTTTCCTGAATTGAATTGTTTTTCAATTTTCAGATTAGCATTTGCCATGAACAGACTGTTCCTAGCCAGGTGGGCAAAGAATACATAGGAATGTGCAACTGTAGTAGTTTTGTACAGAATCTATCACAATGCTTAAAGGAAATCACCAATGAAATTCTTGATTGCACTTTGAAGAAACAGGGAAACCTAAGAATCACAGCTGCAATATTTTACATTCAGGTCCATCTTTGCCCTCTATTAAAATTCCCTTTGAGTAGATATTATTTTTCATGTAGCACATCAAAGGATAATGCCTTGCCCAATGTTTCTTAGAGATTGTTATAGAACTTTGGGTTTCATTCGGTATTATAGTTATCAGACTCCTTGCAGGGTGTGATTCATTGTCACCTATCTCCACTGTGTCCTCTTTAAATCAGGCCTTCATATTATAACATTCACTTGCAACCTTGAGAACTGTGCATCCAACAGGAGATGTTTACCTCCTCAACCTATCAGAATTCCATCTTAAACTTACAGAATAGAAGTATATTTTTCAGTGGGATCTTCATCCTGCATGCTGTTCCATACTAGAAAGATGCAAACAGATTTTGCTAAGAATTTTATTTATGTGGCACAAGGCCCCAGAAACCCCCAGTTTGGGTGGTTAAGAAAGAGAACAGGTGAAAAGGCATTCAGAAATCATACATAAGATTCTTTTTTTTGGTCCTAATTTGAATAATCTTAAAATGCTTCTGTTCAGCTGCCAATGCATAAAGTTTAATTTGGCATAATTTCTGCTTGGAAGAACACAATGTCCTGAAGTGGGTTTTCTTATGGAAAGCTTTCCTTTTAGCTTTCAGCAAGCACAGTATACACCAGTCCTATACCAATGAGCTAAATCCAGAGATTTAAACATATATAAACAGAAAGACGGAGGGTGTGCATTTCCCTATGGTACATGAGTCTGAGTTTAAATTAATGGAAACTGGGTACTCTACAGAAGAGCCTAATTGTCATGCAAATTACAGTAACTTAAAATATCCTCTGATTTATCTGACTTTGTTCTTTCTATTCTTTAAACCAAAATCCTCAGATTTTTTCCTGTGATTTACTCCATGAAGAGAATGTTGATTTGATTTTGCACATAGGGATACAGCTCTTATGACAGGTATTATTATGGCTAAGCTTCTTTCATATTTGTGCCTAGAAGTCCCAGAACAACTGAACTGGAAACCACTACCTTTGATATAAAGATGAATTTTCTTATTGACAGTTATAAATAGTAAAAAACAGAAAAAAGTTTTTAGTTTTGTCTAATAAATTCGGAGGCAACTGAAGTTCCTTGCAAAACTTTTTCTGGCATTGTGAAAAGCATCTTGTGATATGATAGAGAAAATTGCACACACCATTAGAAGGAACAATCTCAGTCTTGCATTAGAAATCAAACACCCTTGTTTGCCAGTATGTTGTTTTCACAAAGTAAAATGAAAACTGTGATATCCTTCATTAATGATCCAAAATGATTTAATTATTCTCTTTAAAGTGATTGTGTTTTGGACCATCAGAGCAGATTATCATAAGAATTTTAACAAACTTTTGATGTTTAAAGCCACACTAAGAATGAGCTATGTCCAAGTACAGAAAAAAACCAATATTTTATTTATAATCTTAGTTTAGTGTTTGAACTACAAATTCTGGTTCTAGAATTGCTTAAAAGATCATGGGTTTTATAGGCTTTCACAAGTAAATTAATTTTTGGGTTGATTTTTTTTTACTTTTTTTCCTTTTTTTTCACAGAATGGTGCTTTTGGTAAGTACAGAGCAAATCATTACATGGAGAAAAAAAAGGTTTACTTGTTTTTCTCACTTGCAAAGTTACTGTTATTACTCCATTCTCTGTTGAATAATTTCAAAAAGGGCATGAGAAAACAAAAGAAAAAAGAGAAAGTGACAAAATAGACCGAATCTCACCACTAGAATTCACCATAAAAATTCCCAAAGTGTAACAGAATTCTTACAAAATTTCCTAGATCAGTTCTTTTAGGGAATCAAGATCTCCTATGAAAAATATGGCAAATGGGAGTCAGGGTAGGTTGGGCAGGAAAACGGGAACGAGGAGGGTAAATAACTGCAGCAAAAACAGGTTCTGAGGAATACACATAATTTTGTCTGCTTTAGATCACAATAGAATTTTTAATAAATAAATTTCTTTTTCTTTGTAAAGACACTTTTGAAACAGTAGATTTAGCCCAGTCATTTGTGTCATTTGTTTTATAAACCATCTTTTTTTGTCCCCCCACCCCACCCCTTAATGTCATAAATGTTTTAGATTTGAGTCTCTTGAACATTGTCTTTCGAGTTCATTCGGATCAATAACGGTTCATGCACTGAACTGTGTATTGAATTTATTGTGTTAACTGTTGTTGTGTGGTTGAAAGGAGATTTATAAGAGTTATAGTGATTTAAGTGCTCATGCTCTATTGCTGGCATGGGCAAATGACTCTCTATGGGTGTGTCACCTGTAAGCTCATCATCCACATTAATGATCTCTACAGTCCGTGTTGGAGCATGATGGCTCTGCCGGTGATGCTGTTTCCTCATTTTGTAGAAAATCACCAGCATCACAGCAGCCATGAGAGTGATAGCCACAAAACAACCAATTATGATTTTGGTAGTCTTCATAACCTCATCTATTCCTGGGATCCCGTTGTTTGCGTCCGTCACAGGAATGGTGAACGTTTTTTCTGTCGATCTTGTGCTCTGTGGAGTGAGTGAGGTTGTCATGTTAATGGTTTCCCAGTTGGTAACTGGTGTGGGCCCAACCTGCTCTGTGGTCTGTGCCTCATCCTGAGAAGGTTCCACAGTCTCTACCGTGACGGTTGAAAAGTAGGTGTAACCAGGGTTATCCAGGGCGGTCACATTCAGCGTGGCAGAAGCCGTGGTATTCCCAACAGAGTTACTCACCATGCATGTGTACAAACCCGTGTCTTGCACAGTTACCTTGGTAAAATTTAATGTGCCATCACTGAGCACAGCAATCCGAACTCTGTACGCCCCATGTGTCATTACAGATCCATTTGGAGTAATCCAAGATACGGAGGTCAGGGAGGTCGATGCCCGGCATTTCATCTCTGCAGCCATGCCTTCTGTGACGTTGAGGTCTGCTGGTGGCTCCACTATGACTGGAGCATAACATGTGAAGTAATTCAGGTCCAGCTCACCAATGTACCTTCCTTTTAAACTGGGGGGCGTGTGGCAACGGGCACAGCATGCAGTGTTGGAGGGTGCCTTATCTTTAATCCACCAGCTGAGCCAAAGGATATCACAGTTGCAGTTCCAAGGATTGTGATGCAAGTGGATCCTTTCTAGGCGGAGCGGTGTGAACAGGTCATGAGGCAGTAGTGTTAGATTGTTGTGTGCCAGGTTGATCTCCACAAGTGACTGAAGGTTATCAAAAGCATTCCTTTCTATCACTTGAATCTGGGACTGTATCATCCACAATTTCTGAAGATGCATCAACCCTTGGAAAGAACCTGGCCGGATGGCAGTCAGATGATTCCCAGAAAGATCTAACTCATCCAGTTTTACAAGCGGAGTAAGGTTAGGAATCTCTCGAAGATTGCACATGGCAAGGTTCAAATACCTCAAGTTGGACAGACCTTCAAAGGCACCTTCTGAGATGTATGAAAGCCTTTTCAATTCCCCCAAATCCAACCTCCGGAGAGAAGGAATTCTGTTAAAAGCATAAGAAGGGATGCTCTCAATGGGGTTGTTTCTCAACCACAGTTCCTTCAGTTTTGATAGGTATACAAAAGCCCCATTTGGGATAGTGGTCAGACGATTGTCAAAGAGTTCCAAAGTGTTGAGATTGGCCAGACCATTGAAAGCCCCTATTTCAATTGTTCTGATGTGATTCCTGCTGAGCTGCAGGATTTCTAGGTGCCTCAGATGCTTGAAGCTATTAACTTTAATGATTTGAATCTGGTTCTCATGGAGATTGAGTAGCCGGGTGTTGGTGGAGATGCCGTCTGGCACGTCTCTAAGATTTTTCCGTACACAAATCACTTTACTGAACTGGTTGCTGCAGGAGCAGACCGAAGGGCAAGTTTGAGCCCTCACTAGACCAGCCACCACAAGAAGTTGAAGAGCCAACAGCACCACAAGCAGGGGGTCAAATAGGGCCCTGTTAAACCTAGGACCTATCATTATCTGCTGTGGATGTAAGGTCATCTTGTTCAACATTCATAATTTATTTGGTGTTGGTCCTTCTGGAGTTTGAATCGTCTGAAAGAAAGGAAGAAATGAGAAGGAGAACATTGAATTAATCTCAAACAATTGTATTCTCTCAACAAAGGCTTTTCAAGTCCTTTCAGTCAACTCTACCAATTTCTTGAAATTCGATAGTGAGAGCAGGTGTAGAATTTCTAATATTACTTTTCCGTACAGATATGTATGTCAGCTGCAACTGGCAATGAGATAAGAAATAGCCATACATTAGTTATCCTGCACATTCCAATGTACAGTGTATACAGGTGGATGGCAGATAAGAAGTTCAATCACAATGACACAATGAATACCGAAAAGAAATGTAACTCAGGGGAGAGTTGAAAGAAAGGACAAACATCTCCAAAGGCAAAAGTTAGCAACACAGGAATCTACTAAGATAGGAATTATCAGAGTATTCAAGATGTTAACCTTTTTTACACATTGAAAGAGAACAGATAATACGAAAAGCAAGTTTCTGGAATGAGTAAAAATCTCTGTCTATACAAACATGATTCCTGAATCAGAGTTTAGCTCGAAGTAAATCTCTAAAACTGAATGTCATGCAAATGACAGGGCAAGATCTTGCCTATAAGAATTAAAAAAAAATTAAAAATGAAAATAAAGAAGCATACAGAGCATCATCCAATTTAATAATATGGCCTCTTCAATTCTTTTGTTTGGCACCAGCAGCAGAGAAACACTCATTAGCAAATGTGTACTGAACACAGAAATGAGAATAGCCATTTATTTAAATGCTGAAAAATATCCCTGTAGGTGCAGGGTTGGCAGTTTCATTGGCACCTTGAAAAAACTCCCAAAAAATTCTTACTGCAAAGGGAAAAAAGAGCTTCACAGTACAAATGATCATTACCATTTTAAGAACTTCAGTACTGATTCATGTGTGGCAGTTTTTATAGTCCCCAACCTTCAGTTCATTTTAAATCTGCTGCTCAGTTTAAGATTCCTCTGTTGCTGAGATTAATGAAATTTCTTATAAATCAGCCAAAAGTGAAGTCTTAGAAATTACAGCAAGCTTAAAACATATTTATAACCCAGAGCACCCAGATGGATAGTACATATATATTCATTAAAACAAAATACCATAAGGCAACAGTTTTCCACTCCAGGCTCCAAATTGATTCATTTTTTGTAAAAAATAGAGACCTTTCATTAAAAAAAAAAAAAAAAGCCAAAAAAAAAACCCCACAAAAAAAATCACCAAAGCAGGAAAATATATTAACTTTCATCTCACAGCAATTCATTTAATGAAAAACTTTTTTTTTCTAATTGTATATTCAGACAATGTGTTTTTGAGAATTCATTTCTGCCTTTTTTTAAAAAAAAAAAAACCTGTTATAAGGGTTCAGAGCTAGCAAGTGTTCTCATCTCAGTTTTAATAATTTACTGCAGAAAAAACCAATAGAATGGCTAAAAAACTGTGAAGAGAACTAGAAATTCTGGGTTGTATCTTATGTTTGATCTCTCTATATGTGCTGTTTATAAAACATCATTCTTGTTATGAAAGATTCATGAAACTGATGTGTTTTGCAACCTTGAGCAAGTCACTTCTGTCTCTGCAGCTTACACTTCTGTCCCATGGCTCGGGAGAGCCCTGTGGCTGTAGTGTTAGATGTTACAGCTCCCACTCCTCCATCCCTTCCCTCTGCCAACACCTGCACTCCTGAACATCAGCTTCAGGATGATGCACTGGACTGGATGAGGGGTCGCTGCTCTACACACCTTCCTTTTCACTGCAGGCTCACAAGGTCACTTATCTCTTCAGAGGCGCTGAACAGGATGTATGGAGAAACACTCCAACCACTAAAATTCAAGTTTGCTTGTAAAAGTCCATCTGCAGTGAAACTATATTCAAAAAGCAGGTGAAAAGGCCACAGTTCCCATCTTTCCTACAGAGTTATGAAGAAAAGCCTACTGTTGTGGTCAAAAGAATTCTATTAGAGCCTTATATCAATTTTAGGGTTCTTAGTTAAGACCTGTGATCCATGAATTTTGCTGCTGACTAGTAATTAACCATCATCTGTGATAGTTAAGTGATTGTATTAGCATTTTTGTCACCCTTTAATTTTTTTTTTTGTGCAGTAATTTGTTTCTCCTTTCTCATTTTCAAAATTCTTCTAAAACTTATACCCTAAGGATTTGGACTGAATAATGAATTCCACTAACAAGTAATAAAACAGACACAGAAACACAACAAACTAATTATTTTACCATTGCACTGGTGCAATATTTTTGTCTTCACTGAGACTGGCATGAGAACACAGGGTGCTATGTCTGCCTTCAGAGCTGCCAGTTATCCTTGTGCACAAGGCTGGTGAGGCACAGGCAGCACATTGGGCTTGCAGAGGCACGGGGATCTTAGACCAATTCACTACTAAAGGCCAGCTTTGTAGGATGCCATATAGTTTCTCTATCTTTCTTTTTGTCATTGTCTGGTCTCAATCCTGTATCCTGGATTCCCTGAAGGACCAGGAACACTACAACATTCATAGAACAAAACAGTACAGAGAAATAAGAAAGGCCATGGGAGAGCAAGCACCCTCAACATCCGGCTCTGAATGCACCAAGTCCCTTCAGCTGCTCTTTTCTAGCCTCTGTGAAGCTGATGATCCCAAGCCATGCTGCAAGTACTCCAAGGCACTTTTCTCCTGTTCTAATTACTTGAACCTGAGGGTATCTCCCAACATTTCCTTTACCTAGTTCTTCATCCAGAAAATCTTCCCTTTTCATCACTATGCATATGCTCCATGGGGGGGAAAAAAAATAAATTTTACTTGAGTACATTATTACAACAAATAAATTACCTAGTTATGAGACTGATCAGTAAATGTTGTCTAACCAAAACCAAAGTGTTTACATGTCTCAGTTGCAAAAAGATTTTTGAAAGAAATGCTTTAATCTTCTTATGATAAATTCCCTATATCCTTCCTGTTTTTGGTTATTGACTGAAACAATGAATCATTCACAAGGAACAGCTTTTTCCTTGAGCCAAAATCGCCTGTGGCTTTTACATTTACTGTTCTCCCTAGTCCTGTGCTAGGGATGTCTCAATCAAACATATGCCTCAGTACAACCATCTATCAAAGACCTCCAGGGAAATCTGACACCGACAGGTTTCTGTAAAATTCAAATCTGTGCATACTTCAAATACAAGTTTGGTTACTGACTAATTGATAGCTTCTCTGAGTCTATAATTCTGAAGACAGGATTTGTGACATTTTGTGATATGTGAATACTTAGTTCTAGATATGTTTTCACATGTATTGGTATGTTTGATCTTTCTGTGTCTAAGCTGTATCTTGCTTAATATATAAGTAAAGAATATCTATATTGCCATCCCTCTGTAACATTTTCCAGGAGGCAGTGAGAGCAAATCTTAGCTTTTGCAGCCACCATTTGATTTAAGTTTGGTCTTATTTATATTACTTGTCTTTTTGACCTGTTCTTTGATAGTACAGGAAGCAAAATGCCTCCTGTTTTTAGGAGAAGACCACACTAAGTGGACTTGGTGCTGCTAAAGTACAGGGGAGATGATGATCCAAAAAAGTGACCATGACCAGCAGAAAATATACCAGGCAATACCCTGCTAATCCTCACTTCCATCCACTGAGGTTTGCCTGAGGCTGAAATATGGCAGTAAGATTCCTGGTGGCTGGAAGAATGTAGTAAAAAGATCCTTTCTTTTATGTTGGCTGTTTTTCAGGGCTCAGAGCTTAAATAATCAGGAAATCTTGATGCAGATATTTCATATCAGGGCAATTTTAAATCATAAATATCTTGGAAACACCCTGGAAAAAAAATTAGCCAGCATAAAATAACAGTGGAAAATTAATTTAAAGCCTTGAAGGGTGTTATGGAAACATTTTAATGGGCTTTATATGAAGATCCATCTGGAGCTCTGTACTAGAGTAATTTGCTATTCAATTCCTATTTATGCTAGAAACACTGAAGGTTTAGCTTTACAAGCCCACACATGGAACACAGACCATCAACCAGCTTCTTTAGTCCTTGTTGACACCTCTTTGTCTTCTAAGTATTATTTTTTTTGATTTCTCTAGTATCAAAATAGCAACTCTACAGTCAATTCAATATCACTAGTGCCCTCTGCTGTATAGACTAAAAATTTAGTTTAAAATGTTCAGAATTTCCTTACTGTACAGTTGGTTCCCTACACACAGTACAATTATCAAATGTGTTTCCAAACATGGCCTTTAGTCTGTCTGTGGCACTGCTCTAATTAACCACAGTCATCTGTTTTTTTAGCACAGTAATGTATATTCTCTTTATGGCCATAGACATTCCCAGACATATATGGAGAGCTGTTCGTTTTGTTTTCCATTTTTGCAGAAATAAAAAATCTTTTTTTGAAATTGACACTTGATGTGCATGTTGTCCTCTCTATAGCTTATCTGACTCTCTGTTACTCTTAATGTACTACACATTTTCCTCTGAGCTAAAAGCTCTGCCCTCTTAAGATCTAGTATAGAAGATGAAGCAAGGAATGACAGAGCTAATCTACCTCTGCAACTATGCTCAGTGCAGCTTTCCTCGGGGACAGCTTGGAGAATGCAGTGGTTACCCTATTGAAATGTAACTTTGCCAAATGTGTATGCAGAGGTGCCTTCTTTATGGGCCTTGTAATATTACCCACTTTTTTTTTTTTTTTTTTTTTTTTTTAATGAGATCTTGGGTCTGATGTGCTTTGTTCTCCTTTTGCTATACTACCAGGAGAAGGTGACTGTGCTCCCTCTGGTTGCTGAAGGATTTTCCTGTAATGGGGATCTTTGATAACAGAAGAGAACTTCCATGCCATTTGCAAAGATCTGCCTAATGAGGTATGGCAGGTGGCAAAGATATTTCCCCAAGCTCCAGTGACCCCAAGCTCCAGTGACCCTTAGCTGGCAGTTCTGTTGCTGTTGGCAACTTGTGCTTTGCTTTCTGTCTTGTCTGTGGGTCTATGAAAAACTGTCTCAGCAGCAGAGCTGTGCACTGCAAAGGCC